AAACCCTAAACCCTAACCTTGAGCCCCAAGCCCTCAACCCTTGGCAGTTGGAAGCGTTGGTCAACCAGAGCTAGGCTCCCCGACTGAGAATGTATAGGTTTTCGGGAAATATTTTTTTCTGGCCTATGGGGCTTAAATGAGCCCTAGGATTTGCTTCAGTTTCTAAAACATCCCAAGCATGGAAGGCCTCTGGTCTCAAGCAGGCTTTGGTTGGTTACCGTGGAAATGCTACAGTATCCTGTATGGAGAGGAGGTTGCTGAAGATCCACGAACAAAAGAAAAGCAGAACAAGACCCCAATCCCAAGGAATTTCCGACCTCGAGCACCTTTTCATTCAGGAGCCCTTTCTTCCTCTTCTTCCCTTACATATATAGCTCCCAAAACCAAGTCACTGAACAGGCTTTTTTCATTCGCGCAATGCCAGGGGTAAGGGGGTCTTTACAAGCAAAGGATCCTTCCCTTATGGCCTGCGTGAAGTAGGGGCCTCTCAGTTTCTTGAAAAGGCCCATTGCGGTCCTTCAACCTTGCATGTTCAAACAAAAGCCATCAACCCCCTGTGGGAGCCTTACCATGCAGCTTATTTATTTACTATTATATAAGTATATTACAGAACATTGCAGTATACTGTAACAGCTTATATACTATATATTAATTATACAGTATCTTGTGGTATAAAGTAACAGCTTACCAGGTCGCTCGAAAATGTTGCTCCTCGATTCGCGTCTCGACCGGCGGCGGTAGCGCGCTAAGCCTGGCGAAGCTGAATTTGCAAAAGATGTGGGGGGGGGGGGGGGGGGGGGNNGGGTCTCAGGTTAAAGGTTACATTGCACATCACTAAGAACCAACATCACGGTTGGTCTTTTGAATACGGTTTTGTCCGTTCTAGGACGCGTGATTTCTGGAGCAATTCATTTGATCGAAAAGTGTTGGGGCTACGGGTCGCGAACTTCGGGAATGTGGAATGAAACAGGCATACAGCGTCAAGGAGGTCCGCACCGCTTGTGACAGCGCCACAAGCGATTCAGCAACAGCTCTGAACGAGGGCAACAGTCGCCATGTCAGCTGTATCCAATCATAAAATCCTGTTGTTTGCCTCTGACCAGGTTGCCAGGCTTTCCGTGTTCATGCAAGGTGCATCTGTAGGTCTCCACGGTCGTGAGATCCACGAAGACCGGGGGCTTTACAGTAAGGAATCGCCCGAAGTCTTTACTAAGGCCCGGTATAGTCTGACACGCCCATACGCAAGCAGAAATGGATGACTCGCCTTGGCAACTTAGATGTTGTGCAACATGTGCCGTTTGAGGGGAGTGGATTGAAGAATCGGCATAACCCACAAAAGCCTCGCCAAGCGCGCAGTGATGGGTCGTACAACCCGGCCGGGCTCACGAATTGAGGTAAACCTACAGCTCACCACGGGCCAGGCCCTCAGCTGTCCCCATTCGGGGGCCCGGCCCAAAAGAAATCGCGGTCCGGTACCGGCAACCTGAAATCCCTGACACCAAGGGCTCCAAGACAGCCGACCTCTCCGGCCGTATCTCTGTCCAGGCATGGTGAAGAAGATCCAGTAGCCACACATCGTTGAACCTCACTGTTCGTCCCAAACCGGTTGCGGCTGCCCAGTTGAAGCAGCAACACCTAGTCCAACTTGCCGCTAACACCAGCCCTCACCCGTACCAGGCCTGAAGAATACCTCGCCGGCCTTACAATGGAGCTCAAACAGAAGACTTTTGGAACAGTCAGCTCAGAGAATGGTTCTCTAGAGACGAGGGACTGTTGCACATTGTTTGCGCCGCCGTACATGATCATGGCCCCTCCTGTGCCGTTCACTTTTTGAATTAGTGATCGAAGCCCTAAACCCTAAACCCTAAACCCTAAACCCTATGATCGAAGCCCTAAGACTCCTATAACCCCTCTCCTCTGTTGCAGCCAGGCCTACTGCAACCCCTCTCCCCTCAAGCGCTAGACTCCTCCACCCAAAAAAAAACGAAGAAACAAACAATTCTAACTGCTTCTTTGCGTTGATCGTCTTGTTTACTATGACTTAGGGGCTGAGTACCCTAGGTTAAAGGTTACTTACTCAGCCACCTAGATTATTGATACTTTGCTTATTCTGAGAGTTTTTTCGAGTCCTCGGATGATGGCTCCGTGCTGAGCTCGGCAGCTGGGCTTAGGCCCGCTGATGGGAATCCGGTTCCAGCCTGCTGAGGGCGTGCAATTTGGGTAGGGGCCTCTAGTCTCATATGGGGTTTCTATTTACTATTCATGGGGTTTGAGGGGCATGCATACAGGATTTCAACTTGGGCATTTAGAGTTCACAACGCGGCAGAAGGCTTTTCGGGGGCTTTCTATAGTGTTGTGAGGCTTCCCAGGATTCAGGGTGTAAGGGGGCTCAAGGGATTTAATAGGGTGCCAGAAGTCACTGTTTCGAAATTGGACATTTAGCGGGTGCCTCGAGAGGTCTACAATCTACAATGGGGATGCCGGTCTAAAAAGAAGGCCTCAAGGAGCTCAGGGGGCTCCCAGCTTAGAGGGCATGGAAGGGACAGGCACATGAACGAGAACGAACATTCCAACAGTTGCGAGATGCCTTGATGTTGGAGTCTAGAGAGTGGCGACCGATGGAAAAAAGATGCTCCGCAAGGCGAAGAAACGGTGGGTTACTTTCTGCTGACAGCTGTTCTGAGCAGGGCGGGAGATCCTTTAAGAATTCATACGGTGCGGGCTACGGCTGGATGTGCCTAGATTGCGAGACAATCGATCAGCTTCAGGTTTGGCCCTCAGCCACTAGCCAAAGCCCCAACTTGGGGACTTCATGGGGGTTCCTTTTTATAAATATAGTATATTATACCTCAAAACCCTATTCTAATTATTGAGACTCTGTCTTCCCATTTCAATGCTTCCGCAAATCAGAGGCCTTCTTCTTGGTCCTCCTCGAACTGCAGGGTGTGAACCTCTGACCAAAACTCATACTGTAGGGGCTTTAATAATTAGAATAGGGTTTGGGGGCCCAATATACTATACTTACATTAAGGAACCCCCAGAGTAGTATAGGTAATATTGAGGCCCCTACAGTATAGAGCTTTGTGGCTCCATCAACCCTTCCTGCACCGTAAATCTCACACCCCAAGTCGCCAATCTCGCTTCTACTCTACTCTAAACGCTGAATGAAGCCTCAAGTCCAAATTTCTAATCAATCGCATAGTTGGTCTCTAACGGTTTAGGGATGTTTAGGGTTTAGGGTCAATTATAAAGTACACTATACCCCAAAACACTAAGCTCTGGAGAAAGGCCGTGCTGCATCCTGGAAGTACTCATACGGTCCGTTGACGCAGCACTGGCCACCAAAGAGAACGGCTCGGCTGCTCTTCCTTTGATCCCACCAGAAACTGCTCTCACAAATCTGCACTCCTGGGGTTCTTTCGGGCCCTGTAAGGCTTCATTGGGCCTAGATTACAAAGATGGGTCTAGGGTTGTTGTGCTGGCATTTCGGGTTTCTGCACCTTACAGTTCAGGGGTTTGGGGGATCCATGATAGATTTGTTTTGAGGAGTGGCTGTGGTGCGCATCATAGACTACGTAACTGTTCGATTTATGTTCTTTTTTAGGTGGCAAGGCCCTCTGTCCCCTGACTAGCCCTGAACATCCTAATATAGAGATAACAACTGTGGCCTGGGTCCTGGGTCTGGAGTTGTGGCTGCCTTCCCCGTTCTGCCCCCGCAACCCACCGTTGGGTACTGTTATCTGTGAATCTGCAAATCCAGCAAGACAATGCCAAACCTACCAAGATCGCAAGGGACCAGAACTTTACATCTCGCCACGACACCAGAACTTAGTTGAATCCGACAGACAGGAAAGGCGAAACAAAAGCTGTAGACACGCGTCTGCTCAAAGGCCAGGGAGTGGTATGCGCCGAAAACCTGGAGGTCGTCGCAAAGCTCTGCAAAGCTGCCGTCCTCTCAGAACCCTAAACCCGAAACCCTAAATCCCTAAACCCCAGCAGCTAGAAACGAGGCCTCATGGAAAAAGCAGAAGGAGTAATTGACATGTGTAGTTGGGTGTAAACATTACGCAAGGTTTGAGAGTTAAGCCCAGGCTGGGCGAGCCAGATGCCAGCGAAGCCCCTAGAATTGGACCCTAAGAAGTAGGAGCCTTGAAAAGGACCGCTGAGTAAAGCACCCGAAACCCGAAATATGTACGTGTATGTATGTATGCATGCGCAAATATGTGTTTGTATATGAAGGCGATGATATGATGTCGGTGGTGCGATGAGTGTAGTTCCTAGTTTAAGTCCAAAACCCTGCACCCTGTCTGCATGAGGCCCTCTAAGAATGCTGAGACTCGATGTCTAAGCCCGCAGAAAAAGCTTGCAAGCCCCGGAGATCCCAAGCCCACAGGGACTAAGTCCAGCAGCCTGAACCCAAGACAACGACCCCCAAATCCCTAAAAAACACGAAGGTCAGCAGCTCCTCTGTGGAGTAAGCCCAGGTATCGCGAAGGTTGTGCTTCGCGTCAAAGCCGCCCACCACAAGGAGCATGCGTCCTTTCACCCTCTACCTCTACACCCTGAACCGTACGCCCTGAGCTCTGCATCGGATGCTTGCTGGAAAATAGTCTCTACATACCCTGCACTGCAAGCAAGTCCTTGGACTTAGAGTCTTTTTAGAGTGGACCCCCCAAATGGGCATTGTACATGCACTTGCCGATGAAGTACGAGCGAGGTAGATATGGCAAGAAGGCCAAGGGCCCCTGCACCTCACAATCTGCCAGAAAGCTTCGCAAATCTCTACACGGGAGACTCCTCCTAAACCCTAAACCCTAAACCCTAAACCCTAATGAGATTGAGCGCTAAGTCTCTCCCTGCACCGGCCAGACTCAAACAGATCTAGGCTCTCACACTGCGCCGACTGCAGGAGCCGAACTTCCTGCTAACGTCTGGACAGGCTGGTTGGCTCTACTTTGATCGGACAGTCAGCCAGCGACACACCAGTGCTCTGGGCTTACGGTTTCGGGTTGAGGGAATCATATTGCATCCACGCCACCAGGCGCTTCGCAGACTGAGTGCCCCCACCTGTCGCACGAGGGTGGATTTTGGCATTCGAATTGTGAAAGCCACATCTGTGCAGAAGCCTCAATGGAACCCAAAGCGACGATGCGTGAGCGAGGGTTTCGACTCACACACTCGCACAAGGCAGGCACGGGTAAGAGGGCAATGCAAGGCTGTGCTCAGGTGCAAGCACTGGCTGCATGCTGTTATTCAAACTTCTGTGTGTCGATCTGTCCATTTACCTATCTGTTCCTCTCTTTCCGTTTGTCTGTCTAGACAGCCCTTCCTTGATCTTTGACTTTCTATCCGAGTCTATTCAAACCAAATGCTGTTAACCTTCTTGATGCATGACGAAAGCCCTAAACCCTAAAGCACATTTTCAGCAACCCCTTTTGAATACTAAACCCCTTTATTGTTAACAACCCCTAAACCCCTAATTAAACCCTTTTGCAACGGCCTTGTCAGATCTCGACCGGACAGATTAAACCCTAAACCTATAAACCCTGAAGCACTTGAGTAATGCGCAATCTTCTTCCCGGGATCGCCAGCTCCAAGGCTCAAAAAGACCCTCCAGCATGGCAACCATCTGCAAGGGTATGAAGGCTTTGGGGTTTAGAGCTTTACCAAGACATTCCTCTAAGAGTTTCTTAGCTTCCATACTCCTGAGGCTTCTTAGCTTCCATACTCCTGAGGCTACGAGTCTCCGAAGTCTGTCTGAGTCTGGGACCTTTAACTCCCCTCTCAAGCACGGCCTAAAGCCCTAAAGCCGAAACACGCACACACACACACACACACGACAACAACAACAAACTCTGAATCACCGAACTAAACCTAAACACTGTAGAGCCCTCGCTTTTTTTAAACACACTTATGACCTTCCAAAGCCCTTTTTTGAAACAGCTCCCACCGCTTGGTCGGCGCAACACTGCGATCTGCGGGTGAGTGGTCCGACCACACCAAAGCAAAAGGGTCGAAGGTGTGCCTCATGCACGGGTTTGCGGGATTTTGTAGGTGGCTTGATAAACCGGCTTTTAGGTTTCAGGATGTGTATAGAGTTCTGGGCTTCAAGCTATGAGGTTTAAGGGGTTATGGGGCTATTCGGTTTCCGAACCCAAACGTGCAGCGGGGGCACACAGCGATCCGCTTGCCAGGCTGGTTCTTGCCTCCCAGGACCCACACGCGGCCGGCGACGACAGTGGCGGAGTGGCCATATACATCCTGCTTGCGGGGTGGAGTTGTCGTTGTCGAGTTACGGGATCATAAGCCTGGGTCGGCCCTAGAATCATGTATGGGCGACCAGGAAAACACAACAAGGTTTTTTGATTTCATATACGTACTTATATATATATATATATACATACACACACGGTGAAATAAACCGATAAGAGATCGGAGTTATCAGGGAACGGAAAGCATCGGATGACCGCAAGCAAAGAAAGCACAAGGGATGCAGAGCTCATCCCAAACTCTCAGTAATACCTACAGTAGGTGTCCCAACTGCAATCCATGCTTGGACACCTTTTGACTGACTGATATCGATTGAAGTGCTCTGAAACCTTACATAGGACAAACCCCACAGAGACGACTTTGCAGAGTGCAGGCAGACTCCTCGGTAGTCCAGAGAAACATCGGAGAACAAATGCGCCGGTTTATGGAAAGGCCTGTCTTACCGAAAATGCAGCGGTCCCTGTCTTGGAAGCTGTCGGGCTTCGTCCACCAGAACTGTGCCCCGCAGCCTGCCCTGTCTAAGCAAGCTGGCTCGCTCCAGCGCAAGGGTCGGCAGTAGGGAGCCATCTCGTGGCGCGTTAAGCCATCTATGGAGCCTATAGGCTTCTGTTCTATTTGTGTAAGCGACACAGCTCGACTGAGAGATCAGCCACGTATTCTGAAGAGCCCTCCACTTTGTTTGGCATGCAACCTTCGGCGACCGTGGGCTGATGGGTGGGGGATAGCGGCTGGGTAGCGGCTGGGCTAAGGCTACTACTGCCTATGCACACCCATGACTCATGACCTTAATGCTGAAGGGTTTTGGACAACCCATTCTTCGGGTTCGATTGCCATTCACCGAGGCCTGTCTCCATAATAAACCTCGAGCCGAAGCAGCAGACGAAACAACCCAAGCCTAGCCTTTTCGAATTTGTCCGCCAAGCGGCTCAAGATCCATTACTTCGGCCCCTAGAAGACCGTGAATCTGAAGATGATTCAGGTAACCCGGACCTCTGCCTCGCCCATAAAAGATGCAGATGACTACATCTCTTCTCCAAAGATGCGGAGAGTGTAACTTAACATAGGGCTTCGTAGGCTCATCCCATGCTCTACATTCCTGATTTTCCGAAGCTCCCAGATCGTTATGCCGACAGTAGTGCTGGCAATGGCGATGATGAAGATCACGATGGCCCAGGCCGTGCTGCTCAGAAAATAGAGGGCTGTGGTCACTATCGCTAGGACGATGCGGCGGAGGACGTGTGTGTGGTGGGAGCGACGGAAGGTGGGGTTAATGGTGATGACGACGAAGATGAAGGTGAACTTCAACGACGAAGTGATGAGACATGACGAGACTGGACAAAACGATGGAAACTTGACAAACAACTGCAGTGACAACGACACTTTCTCTCCTTGCCTATCATGGTATTGCTAAGTGTAGGGCATTGATTCCCAGAACAGGGCTGCTGTCCCATGAAGGAACATGTCTGCCTATTTCAGCCTTCTGCAGAACAACCGCTCGAATCCAAGACAATTACATCTTCACTCTATGGGGACTGGGCGTTTTCACAGCCGCACGCAGGCTCAGCAAACTTTGTCTCGCCACGTGAAACGGAAAACTGACCGACCCTGCTTTTCTCTGCCTCCCAAACTGGGGAACATGATGGCTTTGCAAGTGAGATCGAAGTAGCATTTATCCTAACTTCCCACCTGTGCAACCCTAAAGCCTCCACCCAGACTTTCCGCGAGCACTGGTTTCAGTCATCCGGAGTCCCCGGCCCCGTATCTCGAAAGTCGGCTAAACCTTGATCTCGCCAGCACCAAATAGCCGCTACAACGGATGTATCTATTCTGGTTTCACAACCAAAAGCATGAAGCAAGCATGACGTTAAACAAGTCAATGAGATCTGGTGTACCTCGAAGTTCTGACCAGTACTATACAGATCCCTTGACCTCACTCCTCTTCCTCCTCTTCCTGCTCTTGTGGCTCCTGCTGCTCCTGCCTGGGAATCAAGTTGGGCTCAGGCACCCGACTTTGACTGGTTCCCTGTTGGGGCTATATTAAAAATGATTGTTTGTAATCCTTATTGGCTTTTATTATAACAAAAATGTAAAATTGTAACCAACAAGGACTCCTAGTTCATGGTTGGGGTAGTATTAAAAAATTAAGTTTATATTCCTTATTGGGTTTAAGTANNATGTTACCCAACTATGACAAAGACTCAGTTGAGGGCTTGAGATTCGGGCTTTCGGTGTGTCAGCTTCAGAGCTTTGCCCCGGCCCGGCGGCCGTTTGGGTTTCGGATTCGGAGCCTTCTTGGGACTCGCATTGAGGGATCCGGGTTTAGGGGACGCCAAGAAGATCTTCAGCTTCAAACTTCTGAAAAGCCATGACAAGCATCGCAGCAGCCCTGTTTTTCATCTGAGCGGCCCTGCAGGAAAAAGCCTGCTGTATCCTCAACCATTTCCACACAAGGCGCACATAGCCGCCATACTGTAGTCCAAACCACACATACGGTAGTCCAAAACACCCGTGAGAGCAGTTGCCAGCCAACCCCCCCCCC